AACGTACACTCTTGCTGAGTTCCATGAAGAGTTATTCATGGGCAACACGGCAACAACAAAGATTGCAGGATCTGGAAAAGTAATGTTGAAAATGACATCTGGCAAGGTGTTGACATTGAACAACGTACTGTATGTTCCTACTATTAGGAAGAATTTAGTTTCTGCTGCACTACTTGTTAAGAACGGGTTTAAATGTGTTCTAGTTAGTGACAAAGCTGTAATAAGTAAGAATGAGATGTTCTTAGGAAAGGGCTACCTCACTGAGGGCCTTTTCAAACTCAATGTAATAGTTGTTGACAGTATTAATAAGAATTCTATTTCTGTTTACTTATTGGAGTCAAATGATTTATGGCATGCCCGTTTGGGACATGTAAATTACAAAGCCTTGCAAAAGTTGATTACTTTAGAAGTATTGCCAAACTTCAAATGCGACAAATCGAAATGTGAAATCTGTGTGGAATGTAAGTTTGTTAAACATCCTTATAAGTCTGTTAACATGAGTTCTAAACCTTTAGACTTAATTCACACAGATATATGCGATATGAAGTCAATACCATCTCGTGGGGGAAAAAAGTATTTTATAACTTTTATTGACGATTGCACTCGATTTTGTTATGTATATTTGCTTAATAGTAAGGATGAAGCAATTGATGCATTTAAGCAATATAAGAATGAAGTAGAGAATCAATTGAGTCTAAAGATAAAAATGATTCGAAGTGATAGGGGGGGAGAATATGAATCTCATTTTGCAGAAATATGTTTGGAACATGGTATTATTCATCAAACTACTGCACCCTATACACCACAGTCAAATGGATTGGCTGAACGAAAGAATAGAACCTTAAAAGAAATGATGAATGCCTTGATAATCAATTCTGGTTCACCGCGAAACTTGTGGGGGGAAGCCATCCTTACGGCTAACAAAATACTGAATAGGATACCCCATAGCAAAACACAATCAATTCCATATGAATTATGGAAAGGAAGGAAACCCAACTTGAAATATTTCAAAGTGTGGGGGTGTTTAGCCAAGGTAGAAGTCCCTTTACCTAAAAGGGTGAAAATTGGATCCAAAACAGTGGACTGTGTATTTATTGGGTATGCTGTGAATAGTAAAGCCTGTCGGTTTTTAGTTCACAAATCTGATAATCCTGAAATTCATGTTAATACGGTAATTGAATCAGATAACGCTGAGTTCTTTGAAAACATTTATCCGTATAAAAGTGAATGTGAGTCGACAAGTGAAAGAACTAAACGACCACGGGAAGAATCAGTAGAAAATACACTACCTAACAAAGATCCTAGGCGTAGTGATCGTCAACGGAAGCCTACTTCGTTCGGACCAGATTATGTGGCATTCTTGCTTGAAAATGAGCCCCAAACATTTAAAGCAGCAATGTCTTCGTTTGAGTCAATCTATTGGAAAGAAGCGGTCAATAGTGAGATCGAATCAATTTTAAGTAATCATACTTGGGAATTGGCTGATCTTCCTCCGGGAAATAAACCTTTAGGATCAAAGTGGGTCTTTAAAAGGAAAATGAAAGCCGATGGGACTATTGACAAATATAAGGCTAGACTTGTAGTCAAAGGTTACAGACAAAAAGAAGGTCTGGACTACTTTGATACATACTCTCCAGTAACAAGGATAACATCAATTAGGATGTTAATAGCACTAGCAGCAGTGCATGATCTTAAAATACATCAAATGGATGTTAAGACAGCCTTTCTAAATGGAGAGTTGGAGGAAGAAATTTACATGGAACAACCTGAAGGGTTTATAGTTCCTGGTAAAGAAGAGAAAGTGTGCAGACTTGTGAAGTCGCTTTATGGACTCAAGCAAGCACCCAAACAATGGCATGCTAAATTTGACCAAACAATGTTGGCAAATGGATTCAAGATTAATGAATGTGATAAGTGTGTTTACATTAAAAACATTCCAAATCATGAAGTCATTGTTTGTTTGTATGTTGATGACATGTTAATAATGAGTAAAAATATTGACGATATAAATGCTACTAAGCGGATGTTGTCCAGTAAGTTTGATATGAAGGACTTAGGTGTTGCTGATTTGATCTTAGGGATCAAGATTCTCAAAACTCCTCAGGGACTAGCATTATCTCAATCTCATTATATTGAAAAAGTATTGGAAAAGTTCAAGTACTTGAATTTCAATAATGTCAAAACTCCAATTGATTTAAGCTTTACATTTCAAAAGAATGAAGGTGAAAGTGATTCTCAATTGGAATATGCCAGAGTGTTGGGAAGTTTGATGTATATTATGAACTGTACACGACCAGATATAGCATGTGCTATTAGCAAGCTGAGTCGGTTCACTAGTAATCCTAATCAAACTCACTGGATGGCAATGAAACGAGTGTTGGGATATCTAAAACATACACAACACTATGCTTTGCATTATAATAAATATCCTGCAGTGATTGAAGGATATAGTGATGCAAATTGGATCACCGGGTCAAATGAAGTGAAATCCACAAGTGGTTATGTATTTACACTTGGTGGAGGAGCAGTCTCTTGGAAATCATCCAAACAGACATGTATTGCTCGCTCCACAATGGAATCTGAATTCATTGCATTGGACAAGGCCGGTGAAGAAGCTGAATGGCTCCGGAATTTCTTAGAAGATATTCCATTCTGGCCCAAACCTGTGGGACCTATTTGCATACATTGTGATAGTCAAGCAGCAATAGGTAGGGCAGGGAGCGTTTTGTACAACGGAAAGTCTCGTCACATACGACGGAGACATAACACCGTAAGACAACTGCTGTCTAGTGGAATCATCACAATTGACTATGTGAAGTCAAGTAATAATGTGTCAGATCCACTAACGAAAGGCCTAATAAGAGAGGCAGTTGAAAGATCATCTAAGGGAATGGGTTTAAGGCTTAGGACAAGTCAGCATGACGGTAACTCTATCTAGCAGATTGGAGATCCCAAAAACTAGATTCAAGGAGAAAAACAAAGTTGTGACTGACGGTTCGACATTGTCAATCAACTCAATCCATTCTCATGATGAAGACAATGTTCAGGAATAAGGTTAAAACATTAAGGCTTGTTAATGAGTTAATAAAGCTTAAAGTTTTTAATGATTTGCTAAATTTGGCAGATTTGACCAAATAGTGTATCTACGAGATGACACGGTTAGAAATCACCTATGTGAGTGTGAAGTGTAAGCCGCTTCAAAGAGGATATTTTGTCAAAAGCCTATTCTCTATACACTCATGAAACCAGGAGGTGTTCATGGCTGAAACGAACACAACCGTAAGAACCATAAACAGTAAAGGATTAATTGTGTGACATATGGTTGTCTAGGTATACACCAAAGCTCGACGGTTCAAAGATATCGCATCTACCGATTGATCGAGTATATCCGACATATGTTCACTACGAAAAGTTCAACGGGAAACCAACTTATCCAGATGCAATTGATCCTTGCCTGTAAAGTACACATTCGTCCGTGCATTCCTTTGTATTATAACCATTCCCCATTAATGTGGGGGATTGTTGGGTATATAGAAAGATTAATGGGAAATGGAGGGAAAAATGAAAAGGGAGGGAACTTGAAAAGTTCCTTTGTCCCTTATGCCTTTGTAAAAGGCATTTGTCCCACATAGGTGGTGAAGAGAAAAATAGATGTGCTTAAATATAGTAGTACTTCTATTAGTTGTTAAAGGGTTGTAAAGAGGGACTCCCTCGCGCCGTCGTCGTCGTCGCTCGCTCGGCTCGGCTTTGGCTTTGGCTTTAGAAAATGTTTGTTCGTGGAGTTTCTTTTTTGAACGAAATTTATTTTAATTAATTATTTATTTAATTAATTAATTTAATATTTTCTGACCCAAACTCGACCCGGATCCGCGAGATCTGATTTAACCGACTTAACAACTTGAATTTTCTTTCCCGTTTTATTTAAATTTTCCCGCCGTTGGAGATGTCTATTCTGAACGAGTTGCAACGCTTCAGAACAGCCATGGCCTTTTGAAAGATTGCAACCTTTCATCAATGGCCGTTTCTTGTCTATAAATACCTGTGATTCCTTAGATTTTTGTATATACGAAAATTCTGATTCTTCTTCTTCTTTCTGTACAAAATAAAATCGTGTGCTTTACTGCTGTTGAGTGGTTCGCTGACACCAAGGTTTTGGGTATCAATACACTGGTGAGTAAGATCATTTTATCCTGGGAGGATATATTCCAATTCAAACCTCGGATACTAGAGGGGAATAATTTCCTTAAGGGGACACTGTGTATTCAGTGGACTTGATCTTTTTCCTTTCTGTTCTTTACAGATTTTGTTTTCTGAATTTAGTTTAATTAATTAAATTCTGGTTTGAACTAGTTACTGTTTCTTATAGTTTCTAGTACATATATCTATATATATATTTAGTCTACAGATTATTGCTAACAATCTTAAGGAAATTATTTTCTGATCTTGATATGATGAACTGATCTGCCAAATACTCAAACAAGAATGCCCTTAGTCAACTTGAAGAGAGAAATCTACTCAGTTTCTTTCTATTAATTCCCCCCTCCCTCCCGACTAGTTCCATGAGGGGCACATGCGACTTCAAAGGTCTAGTGTTCACTTGGGCTTATAATGAATGTAGATTCAGTTGGTTAAGCAATAGTAGTTCTCAATTCTATGCATGGGATAGGCACAAGAAACGAATTTATTAGCAAATCTAATTTACCCTGATATCTTAATATCCCCTAACTTCTCTTTCTGTTGCACTATTTTGGTTACATAAATTGCTTTTTACTTCAATGAAGTTTATATAAAGCAAGTTTCTCTCTTTTAATTAATTAGAGTGTTCAATTTGATGAAATTGTTTTTTTTAAAAAGAAAAAGCATCTTCTACGAAATGGGTAAATAAATACGTGATGACTTCATTGCTGATGAAAATCGTTTTTTCTACTTTGCCGCAATGCTATAAATATCCACCGACAGTCTTCTCTATCTTTAATTCATACCCACTTTAAAATTAAAAGTCTATCTATAGAGACAAAAAATAATGGAGAAGAAGAAAATGAATGCAGTGGCAGCCATGGCTATTGTGTTGATGATCCTTCTATCTTCCAACACCGTCCGCGTTGCTGCTCAAGGCGTCGATTGCTATGACTCTTGTAACACCGCCTGTGTTGGTCTCCCATGTATTATCCCTTTTATTGTTCGGATCAATTTATAACTATACCATCAATCGAATCGTTATTTCATATCTCAAAACTAGCATAATTTTATAGTTAGTATATTCTTTTTAACAGTTAATTATTTTTCAGCGAGAGAGTACCAACGTTGTGATGAAAAGTGTCGGATTAGGTGCGGACCAGGTAATTTGTTTTCTTTTTCTTTCTCCTTTTCCATTTCTCAGCAATTATTTTTGCAACATAATCGAACATCTCAATTTTAATTTTTTTAATCAAGCAGCTTAAATTCAAAATTTAACTATAGATTTTTCATTTTGCAGATCGCAAAATTGATACAAACCTGGGTTGAAAGTGCTGAAATGTATCGAGGCTAATATATATTGTAGCGGAATTCCACAATAATAATCGTATCTTTGATAATAATTTCCGGAAAATAAACGTAACCTATACGTGTATGTTTAATTACTATTATGATTTCTTTCTTTTTTTTCTGTAATAGATGCATTTTATAATGGTGAAACTATTTTCAGAATTATATTTGTCAATTTATAGACCAAAATATATAGACTTTTTTATAGACCAATTTTAGAATACCCTACTTGAAAATCGTGACCAACCTAATCTTTAGATCTTATCTTATTCATTCATTAATTATTATTGATAGAAACCTCTTTTCTATTTCCATCCACACACGTTGTAACTGCCTATTTAATTTAGCTTTAGCATTTGTATTTGAAAACTACTTAAATTTAGTCGATTTAAATGGCTTTTAATTTTTCTTAATCTTTTCACATGATAGTTATTTCTTTATAAATATCTCAATTTTACTTGCGCTACCTAATAAATTAAAGGCAATTCCACATCTAGAGCCTAGAGGGACTTGAATCTGAGACCTCGAAGAAAGAGTACTTATCACTTTATTTTTAAAAATAAAAAAAAAACTTCGTCCAATTTTATTCATTTGTACAGAAGCCAACATAAAATCAGCTTGCGTGAAGATGTTAAAAGGTCTAAGAACTTCGAATGAGAAAAGGCCAAAAATCAAAATACAGCTAATTCAAGTTTGATTATGAAAGATCCAATCATTGTCCATCTACTCTCTCCGTTTCACTTTATTATATTTCTCCAACTTTTCTTTTTAGTTTTTTTTTAAAAAAAAAAATTAATTCTAAATTTTTCTACAATATGTTTAGTTTGTATACATTCTATCTTTGCTTAGATCCATGAGTTTGAATTACATATTTGTAAGATGCTAGTGTTGGTGTACTATTAAGAGAAAATGAGATAAACAGATTAAGTTTGGTATTCCAAATTAGTCGTATTGAAAATTATCAGCATCACACATGCCACTTGCCCCGTGGGCAGGGACGTATTAACCGCTAGGCCACTAAAGTCATTGTTTGGGGCCCCATATATTTTGGGGCCTTCATTTTTAAAAAATAATTACTTATATATATATTATTATTTTTAAAATTATATGTACTATGAGTGTTATAATTTCTACTAAGAAAATTGCATATGAGATGAACATAAATCTGAATTTTGTAAGAAACAATTTGATAAAAATATGGATAGCGAAATCACAAAGTCCCTTGAAGAATCTTTTAGAGTTGATTGCTTTATATAAGTAAAGTAGATCAAACTATTTTTTCACTTCAAAATAGATTTGAACCAATTGAAGCATATGGAAATACTTTTGATTTCTTATTTAGTGGTAAAATATTGAGATCATTAGATGATGAGAATTTTAAAAAATATTGTCTTAACCTTGAACTGTCTTTAACACGTAATAGTTATTCTGATATTGATGGTTTAGATTTATTTTTTGAATTAAAAGTGTTAAAAGAAATAATACAAGTAGAAGATAATGATCTAATGAAAATACTCAATCAAATAAAAAGACTTGATTCTTTTCCAAATACACATATTGCTTATAGAATAATGTAACCGTTGCCTCAGCGGAAAGAAGTTTTTTCGAAATTAAAATTGATTAAATCTTCTTTAAGATCAACAATGTCTCAAAAAAGATTGAATATATTAGCTATATTATCATTTGAAAAGGAAATATTTAAACAAATTGATTATAAAACAGTAAATAATGACTTCGCATCTAAAATAGCTAGAAATAGATTTTAAATAAAAGTATATATGATGAAAAAATATATTAGTGCCCCTAATGTTATTGGGTTGGCCCTGCCAGTGGGGTACTAATATAAGTGATTACAACGAGCTAGCTATATAAATACATCTACCGACAGTTGTCTCTTCCAAAGATAGATAAGAAAAAATAATGGATAAGAAGAGAATGAATGCAGTGGCAGCTATGGGTATGGTGTTGATGATCCTTTTATCGGCCAACATGGACATAGTCGGTGTTGCTGCTCAAGGCGTCAATTGCTATGATAACTGCAACACCGGATGCGCCGGTCTCCCATGTATGTCTATTAATAGCAGAAATTTTGCATCTTAATTTGACTTCCGTATCACTTTCTGTTATATTCAATCAGAGTAACTTATATTTAATTTTACAATGAAGGAAGGAAGTTCAATGGTACGGTATGGTAGTATCTATTTTCTTGAACCTATATATATATATATAGCTGCTTTAACTTCCTTGTGAATTATTTAATGAAAACAAAAAGGGGAATCAGTACTGTTTATAACATAATTAAGAAGAATTTGTTAATTTTTCAGCCAAGGAGTATCTGAAATGTGATAAGAAGTGCCACAAAAGGTGTGGAGATGGTACGTACTATACGTAATTCTCTTTTATTAATCATGATATGACCGAAATATTAAAAACATTATATATAGATATGTATAATATATTTAATAAATGTACAAAATCTATATATTTATTGGCTCTTTTGTAAACCAGATGAACCAAAAGCCATTATAAGAAAAATGTGAATTACATGGGGATTTTTCTGGGGATTACTATGAAAATCCGTAGAAAACTTATTTTTTTTGCAAATTTTTAAATTAATCCCCAGAAAAATTCTCATATAATTTACACTTTTTTTTTGTAGTCATTGGATTATAACCATCCCAATTTTTAATCGTGCTGCTTAAATTTGAAGTTTAACTTTATTCTTCATTTTGTAGATGACAAAATTGATGGGAACGTTGGTTGAAAGTGCTGAAATTTACTAGCAAGCTATGGAAGCTATTATTGTAGGGAGTTCCACAATTATAGTTGTCTCTTCGATAATATTTATTTGGAAAAATAAACGTTACTTATACGTGTATGTTTTTAATACTATGACTTTTTGCTGTAAGATGCATCGTATGTTGATGAAACTATGTACTACTATTTGAAATTATAATTGCCAGTTCAATAAGCAAAGCTAGTCGAGTCAGAGTCAAATTTGCCAACGCTATAAATAACTCAAATCGTTCCTTCTCGTGTTATTTTCATTACTTTCTCTCTTTACCATCTTTTGTTATTCACTATATTATTTTGGGATATCTGGCAGCAGCAATATTTGTTCAGTTTATAAAATTAATGAATAATTTATTATTTTGTGTCTTACCTTTTATTATTGAATACTATTCATTTTTTAATTTTTTAGATGACTTATATTTAGTAAAGGTGATTTGATAAAATTATACTTATCATTTATTGTTTCTTAATTCATCTATCAAATCAATAGTGAACAACTATTGTTGGATAGAAGAAGTACCAATAAACTAGACAGAAAATTATTATAATTTTTATCTTCATTTTAATTTATTTATCTTAATTTTTTAATTGATTTTAAAAAAAAATATTATTTTTTTTAACTTCCCTTTGATGTGTTTAGTACTCAGGGGCGTATTTAGAGGGGGTGTTGCGGGTTCACGTGAACCCATGCTCCCCTCTCTAGATCATATATAATAGTGTTATATTTTTAAAAAATATTTAAATATAGATGTGTGAACCCACGTTTAAAGTATCAAATAATAATACAATAATGATTGAGTGCACCTCTCTAAGTAAGAATAAAAATTTAATTCTTATATCTATCTTGTCCTTTTGAGTAACACCTCCCCAAGTGGTTATCGATTATACTTTTGATGTTTCAACTAATTTTTCTTTTGTTTTTTTTCCTTTAATCTTTCAAAATTTTCAAGTGCCTTACATTGGAAGGTCCTAAAAAACTTTGCACTATATGATTTCTATATAATTAAATCTAATGTGTACATTAAAATTTAAAACTAATAGTATTATATATTTTGGACCTATAATTTTTAAAACTTAATGGTTCATATTAAGAACCTAAAAGTCAAACTTATCAAATTTATATTTAAAATACATTTTTTCGTATTCGTGCACCCATCTTGACGAATTTCTGGATACGCCTCTGTTAGTACTTATACTATACTAAATATGTGGTAGAACTTCTGAATCTTTTTACACTACTAAATAAGTTATTGTACTTGTGAAACGTTTTACTAAGTTTATAAATCAAACAAATCAATTAAACGTTTGGTATTCCAAATTAGTCCTATCCTATTGAAAATTGATGAATATTCCTCCGCCACATGTCCCCTGTACGGCACTAATAATAGTGTTACAACGAGCAACATAAATATATCTACCGACAGTCCTCTCTTTATTTTATACATAGAAGAAGGAAAAAAAAATACTTAATGGAGAAGAAGAAAATGAATGCAGTGGCTATGGTGTTCATCATCCTTTTATCGGCGAACATGAACACGATCGGTGTTGCTGCTCAAGGTGTCAATTGCTATGATAACTGCAACACCGGCTGCGCTGGTCTCCCATGTATGTCTATTATATACTTTTATTCATCGAAACTTAGGTATATTAAATTAATATAACTATGGAATCAGAAATGGATTCAAGAGTAGTAATATTTGACTTCCGTGTCACTTTACTAGAATTTTTGTCATCCAAAAGCTTATACGGCAAGAATTTGTTAATATTTCAGCAAAGGAGTACCTGATTTGTGATAACAAGTGCCACGAAAGGTGCGGAGATGGTAATTCTCTTTTTCTTTTTTCTCTTTTCAAAAGTTATTATGTATATTACTCTAATATACTACTTCCTCCGTCTCATTTTATATGAGGTAGTTTGATTCGACACGGAGTTTAAGAAAGAAAGGAAAACTTTTAAAACTTGTGATTCAAAATGAATGATAGAAATTTGTGTGGCTTGTAAATAATTTCATTAAGGATATAATAGATATTTTATAATTAAATTGTTACCTAATACAGAAATGTGTCATTTTTTTTGGGACTGATAAAAAAAGAAAGTAAGTCACATAAATTGGGACAGAGGGATAGTATACTTGTTCTATATAAAAAATCTATATATTTGTTCACTATTTTATATGCCAGATTATTCAAAAGATTAAAATGTAATTACTCCTTTTTTAATTATGCAGCTTAAATTCGAAATTTAACTTTAGTCTCTTCATTTCTTGCAGAAAGCAAAATTGATGGAAACCTAGTTGAAAGTGTTAAAATGTATTAGCTAGCAAGCTATCGAGGCATTAATGTAGGGAGTTCTATAAATAATAATTGTCTGTTCGATAATAATTTCTTCGTAGTTGGAGAAAATAAACGTTACTTGTACGTGTATGTTTAATTATTACTATAGACTCTTTTTTTTCTACTGTAATAGAAATGCATTGTATGATAATGAAACTATGTACTATATATGAAAGTATAATTGTCAGTTCAATTTGCTAGCTGTAGTTAAGTCAAAAGTCAAAATTTACCAACGCTTTATATGAACTCAAATCGTTCTTTCTCGTGTTATATTTATTACCAACAAATTAGACATAAATAAAAAAACTATAGTTGGTATATTGTTTAGTCATGGAGAAATAGAGTGATGGCGGAACAAGTGAGATTTGTACTTCCCCATCAATCGGTAGATTGATAGCTTGAATCACGCTGAAGAATAAATGAGAATATTATTGATTCTTATGTTTGAATCACACTTAAAAAAAAAATTATGGTTTTAAACTTATTTTAAGTTATTTTTAATATTGTCAAACACTACATTTTTTATATATTTTAAGTTGTTTTTTTATTTTCTAAATATTTTTAAATGTAAAATACTAACTTAAAAATAGATTTAATCAACATTTAAATCAATCCAAACATCCTCTTTAAACTTTCGACAGTTATGGGCCTCCTAAATTATGGGCCATAACTGTCCTCAGTGGGATTAGCTTCTTAAACTGAAATATTGGACCGTGTATTGGGCCTAGTTCAAGCTAATGGGTTGGAGTTATACCGTAATCGTTTGATAGATGTATAAAATAAAACGTCAAATAGAGTGTATTAATAATATTGTATTAATTATATATAGATTATTTCTTATGCATTGTTTGATTTGATGTATTAAAAATAACATGCATTGCATAAAAATATTTATTTACAAAAATACCCTTCACGATTATGGTGAAAAAGATGTAAAAGAGATTTTGAGGGGCAATGAGACCTTTAACCATGCTAGTGTATGCATTAAAACTCACTGCAGTATTAAGACCTAAAAATTCATGATATAAGTAATACACACCTTAGTACACAATATTAGTCATACATAACATGCAAAAATGTACCAAACAAGATATTATGAATGCACAAAGTTAATGCATGCATTATTTTTACTAATACAACACTCTATCAAATGTCCCTTCTTATTCAACTTCAGTAAAAGTCTTTGCATACTCTACTAATAACTAGTTACTCTTTCCTTCCACTTTTAATTGTCATGTTGCGCTTTTCGAAAGTCAATTTGACTAATTTTTAAAGTTAAATTAGATTACATTAATTCGATATTTTAAATAAAAAATTTAGATATTCAAAAACTATACGGAAAATACTATAAATTACAATTTTTTACATATCAATATGATGAAAAAAATACAACATAAAATGTTAGTCAAATTTCTTATAGTTTTACACTAGAAAGGAAAACTATGACAATTAAAAGTAGGCGAAGACAATATCAAATAAAGGCGTAAGAAATAAATAAAAAAAAAGGAAAAAAATGTTTGTTACATAAAAATAAGAAAAATGGTAGACTCCGTTTGAAAGGATAAAAAACCGACAATTTATAAAACCGACATAAAAAACTCAAAATAGGCATTTCTCGCTCAAGTTTAAATGTTGAAATCGAAATTTAAGACTCAACAAAAACATCAACCTAGCTAGAAACTAAAATGGAAACCAAAAGGCCACCTTTTACATCAGGCAATTCAATTAGTTTAAAGTATAACTAATTGAACTTGCAAATAATTAGGTGTGTATATGCAAAGCGAAGCCTGGTATTTAAGTGGAGAAGGGTAGAGGGGTGGGTCCATTATCCACCGAGTTTAGAAGGTTGTGATTGGTCCAAAGGGCAGGTCACATACGAATTTCTCGGTTATCAAAAAAATAAATAATTAGGGGCGTATATGACTAGATTGGTTTGATTTTTTCAAATAACAAATCAAATTATTTGTGTCAAATTTTTAAACCAAATTAAACTATTAAGACTCAAGTTATTTCGGGTTTCTCCGGATTTCATGGACTTATGATTAACTTGTGCCTTAAATATTTCTTCAGTCCTACCAAAAACAACTATCAAAGGTATTTCTTTAAAAAAAAAACGCAAAATATGAGATGAGTAATGACACAAAAATATTCATTAATAAAAATAATAATGAAATCGCAACAAATAAATATAGCAAATTAATAAGTCATAATGAAAATGATCATAATTTAAAAGTACTAAATCATGTTAAAGTAAGTCTAATAAGTATTAATTACATGATTAAACATTGAAGAATAATTAGAATTATGATATATATTTTAAATGTCTAAACCAATGTAAAACTAAAGAACAAATATTCAACATTATTATCTTTTTTTGTGTTGATTTTTTTTTATGCTAGCATTAGTATTGATTTGATTTTGAAATAAGCTTTACAGAGTTATTAATATCTATGAACTAAAACATTTATCAGATTATTCAAAATTTTAAGTCTAAAAAAACTTGACATAATTTATTAAAAGATAAAAATTATGAAAAGGTATAAGAAATTTTAGAAATTATATCAAAATTAATATTTTATGTATAAAATAAATTTTAGAAATTATATATATAATGTCAGCTTGGTTTGGTATCGGGTCGACTTCTTTTTGGTTTAAACCAAACCAATTCATATATAGTCGGAGTTTTTTTTCAATACCAAACCATTAATCGAATTACTTTTTCGATTTAACTTAATTTGCGATTTAATGAGAATTTCAATTCAATTTTGTACGCCCTACAAATAATTATATTTTTCACTCAAAGTTTTGTGTAATTTGTAATACAACAAGGGACATTAAACACAATAATACATTTCTAGTGGACCCAATTACTAAATATATTAGCTTTAAACTTACAAAAGTAAAACAAATATTTTTTTTTATTTTTTTTAAGGATAGTGCTAAATGGTCAGATATTTAAAAACTCTATAAAAAAATTTTGTTTTAAAATAAACTGATCTTTTTTTTTTTTTAAGGTATTAAAGTTAAAAGAGTAAAAATATTCAAAAAATAAAATAACATAATGTGAAATATGTTATTTTACCATTCTGGCTAAATTCTGACTAAATTTTCTAGCCATGTATTTTATTTTATTTTTATAGATATTACTTTATTTAGTTTCCACTCAAACACAAACACACACACACACAAAATTTAGAAATTCAAAAATAGAATATAAAAAAAGACTGGCGTCAAATTTAAGCAAATTCCCCAATTTATAAACCCTACTTCCGTTTCTCTTTTTCCTCACAAACAAAAAACCTCTGCCGCTCTCGGATTTTTCTTCTCATCCTTTCGATAATGGTGAGTAAATCTCGTTTAATTTTCATATAATTACTTGATTTTCTTTCTTTTTTTCGAGAATTGGAATGATAATTAGATAATCATTGAGGTATTTATACGATTGGCTGGAAATTTTTTTTTGTATTAACTTTGATTTGGATGAATATTTGAGGATGTAGATGAGTTTATTCTTCGCGGCTAACATGAGAATTTTTATAGCTGCAAATTGTTTATCAGTACTGGGATGATGAGATCGAGATGTTTACTGGATTTGTTTGGTAGTTGTTCCTTTTCTTTGTTTTAGAAGTTGGGTTAGCTTTGGTAGGTGAGTTTTTTTTTGTGGGGATTGGAATGATAACTGATCTCTATATACATAAGACGTGTCTAATTGACCCTGAATAGTTTGAGATTGAGTTGTGTATAAGCTTTGGATGCGTATCTGAGTGTCGGATTTGTATCCATATGGATACGTGTGCTGGGATTTGGCTTAAAACTTTGAAATGATAAAATAGGGCTGTTAAAATATTCCTTTTACTCAAAAAATATATTCTCTTTTTTGAGAGATAGCCCGTGGAGAACTTCGATGGTATGTTCTAGAGTTATATCATTCATTCTCTAAGATGGGAGTTAAGTAACATAAAATATTGACCAAGAGGAAAAGCTTTAAAAGATGTATGTATGCCATCTTCGATATCTTAAATCTGTTTTATCTTCTATTTTGATGGGAGTATACATATATATATATATAAGGAAAAATTAGGTCCCCAACCCCTGTGTCATGTTGATCGGAGCAAAGTGCAACTTAGGTCTCAGATTGAGGTGCTTATATGCTTTGTTGATTTTTTTTTGGTCCAATTGCTCCTTTTTGTTCTTCTAGGAAGTTGGTTTTTAACTTTGATTGTGATGTGTTTTTGAAGATGTAGATGAGTTATATTTGATATGTGATCAGTGTTGAATTGTTAACGTTTTGGCTTATTTCTTGTGTTGATCTTTGTGAATTTATTATTACAGGCTTTACCAAACCAACAAACTGTAGATTATCCAAGCTTCAAGCTTGTTATTGTGGGGGATGGAGGAACTGGTATGTTTCTATGTTTATCTGGGATTTGTTTCGAAGAGAATATCAGTAACATTATTTTGATATCAAACAGATATTTTGTTTTGATTTCTTCAAACATTTGAAAAACATTACTGACTAGTGAGAAAATTTTGATTTCGGAATAGTTCTTAAATATGAAAGCTATTTCAATATAGTTAAGTGATAATGTATGAGTAAACACTGAATTTATGGGATAAATGCTATTTATAGTAGACAATCTGATCTTTGTAAATTGAAGTGAATGTTTCATTGAGATTAGTGGCTTGCTTCCTTTTGTTAGAGTACCCTAATGGTTTCTGTTGTAATTGGATTTCCAGGGAAGACAACTTTTGTCAAAAGGCATCTCACTGGTGAATTCGAGAAAAAATATGAACGTAAGTTTTTGATTTGTTGTACTGACTGAAGTGTTTAGATAATCTGGGTCATTATCCATTTCAATAGGCTCGCGCTGTTTCTCATTATGTTGGTTTCTCGTGAGTGAATTATTTATTAAGTTTTTTTTTCATACAGCCACTATTGGTGTGGAGGTGCATCCACTAGACTTCTTCACAAATTGTGGGAAAATTCGCTTTTATTGCTGGGATACAGCTGGACAAGAGAAGTTTGGAGGTCTCAGAGATGGTTACTAGTAAGTGATTCTAGGCAGTTAAAACCTTTAGTTTCTGCAAGGTTCTGCTGCTCGATGGATGTTATTTCTGATTAAAACTTTTACTATCAAATCCTTGAGTGTTAAATGGGTAAAGTTTCATGTTTCCCGAAAGATGAAATATTGG